AGTACCTTCTCATTGCACTCTGTAGGAGGTGAGACATGGGGAATGTTTGGAAGATGTAGTGAAACAAATAGGTAAATGTGGCACATCTTCATTAAGTGAATGGATACAGTCCCACTAGAGCATTTTACTGCTAGTCCTAGTCTCCTGAGTTGTGCACTTTACAAGATTGTCAGTGTTGATGATGACTAAATAACAAAGCTCTCCCTTGCCAGCAGTAATAAGAAATATCACGTCTCCTTTTCCAAGTGTTTTTAGGACAAGAAAATATAGTTTCCTATCAACTTTGTTAGATTTTTCTAAGTTCTCATGAAAAGTTTTCACACAACTGGACATAGGTTTCACCAAAAATGGACCCCCATTAGTTAAGATGCCAAAACAGGCCCTCCACTTTAATTTTCAACAAAGGTTTGGGTTTTCACTCCACTTTATGTTAATCATCAAAAGCGTATCAAGCAACAATTTATTATGGACACTCCTGAACTTTGTTGTTCTAGTTATCACAAGTAGTGGAAGTGCCAGCCACTTCCAGCTTGTTAGGGAAGTGATATGATAGTAAACCCTCAGAGGACATCGAGCATACTCCGTTTCTCCAGCCTTGAGCTCCTGTGCCCTACTGAGTTGATACCTGTCTTCTAGCAATGGAAGAAGTTGAGCCATCTAATTTTGGGAACCTCTGCCTTGCCTTCAGGGTTCAGTTTTTTTGCCTTTTTTAAAGAAGAATCAGAAAATCATGATGAAAGCAGAAGGGGCAATTTCTCATTGAGAAAACCAGCCTCTTTATCATCAAAATGTTTTTAATTAAACATTTCAGACTACTCATGTGCATGTAAATCCAAGTGAAACCATCTGTCACAGTGTCTGCTCCTTTCTGACTGCACCATGTGCCATAGGTTAATCTGGTGGCCACTGCTGGCTACTGATATTCTGAATTTGTGTGAACACATAGACTGGCTCTTCATATCTGTGTAAAATCAGCCTGTAATTGTGCACAGCTGTCTGTTTCTGCCCCTTTATTCTGTTGATTTCTGTGCAGTGAATTACCTGAACCACAGACTGTGTTAGGGGCTTCTTTTATTCATTTGCACAGAGCTAAAAAGTCTGTGGCCATCACTGCTGCTTGGGGACTCTGTTGAGTGAAATACTAGACTTAAGAACAGCAGCACTCACATGTTTTCTCTAGTCAGCGCATATTGCTCATGGTATAAAGAAAACAGAAAATATGTTTCTTCTGTGATCATAAATTATTAGGTTTTACCTGCATTGCCTATGAGAAGGTGTTATAATTTAGAAGAGAGTAGCAATTTGAGCAGAATAGACATGCCTCCTACCTCTTTCTTTTCTTTAGATTCCCTGCCCCTCCCTCATCCACTAATGTCTTCTGTGGGCTTTAGGGATGAAACAAATTACTCTACATTGGTGACAAGAGCAAAATAAATGAGATTTAGCTGCACAGGAAGGTCTTGCTGTATAGCCTGATGGTAAAAGCACTTGTTAGTGGCAAAGGAATTGTACTGTATGTTTGGCATCCTGCTGCCAGGGCTCCTTCGGTGGTTTCATGCTGTCACTGTATATAAAAATAAAGAGCGAGCCCTGCAGGCAAGAAAAACAAGCAACTCTCCCAATCCCGGATAAGTGTTATAAGCAATAGGCTATAGACTCATGTTTCTATTTGTGCTTTCTTTTTGACTTACTAAATACAAATTTTTATTTTTTGCCTGTGACTCATCTTCAAGGAGAAGCTCTCCCCCTTGGTATGCTAATGGATAGGAGGTGGGAGGAGAGGAATGGATACCCTGGAAGTCAGCAGGAGAGGAAATTGAACCTTCCTTCTGTGTTTGTGGTGGGTGCTTTTACCACAGTAAACCATAAAAAGAATAATTATTTTCTTAATGTGTAACTCTTACCTAGGGTGCATATGCACATTTGTACTATCATCTTTGGGAAGATACTTGTGGCCACTGTGATATTTTGTAGGAGACCAGACCTGCCATCATCTTTGGGAAGATACTTGTGGCCGCCGTGATATTTTGTAGGAGACCAGACCTGCCTGCTAGCTATGCTCAAAGTTTGCTTGGCAGATATCAAGGAGGTGCACATGAAGGCAATTTTTCTATCACCTCCAGTTTAGGCATGAGCTGAATACCAATCCTGTTAACATGGTGTGTTGCAAAATCCAGTGTCTATGTTGGCTGATGCTGCAGTACGATGTGTTTCAGGTATTTAAGGTGCTGATCTACATGGCTCTGAAAATTTCCCCAAAGGACCAGTTTAAAAAGGGACACATACTAAACAGGTTAATTCGTATGTGTGTTGCAGTATTCATATCTGTGCTGCAGGCTTTTGTCTTTTAGATAGCTCTAGGTGTTTCAACACTACATGAGATGACTAAGGGCAGCCATCTCTTGCAGTGAACCACCAGTGTGAAGTGGATTTCCTCAATACCCACTCTGGGCAAGCTTTGTGCTCTCTACACCAGCACATTCACTTGTATCTGAGGAAGAAGCTAAACTGGAGCATTCTGGGTGCTAGTGAGCTTTTAGAGTCTTCCATCATGTTAACCAGGCTTATTGTGACCAGCAGTCTTCCCAGACAGTTCACCCATACCCAAGGGCCATTTTGAGTAGGTAAGTATATAGTTTGCATACAGCTGCCCTGTTTCAGATCAAAGGACACTTTAATGGATGCAATCCAAGGCCAGCTGCCTTCAGTGCTGGAAGTGTGATAGGACACACTCAATTCATTGGTGCAGGCAAAGACCTAGGCTACAGGAGAGTTTCAGTGAATCTCAGGGCAGAGGTGGCTACTAAGCAAATTCAAATCTGATTTGACAGCTCCATCCTCTGATCATTTGGTGATGTCAAGGCTCAAGGAAGAAGCTGCATTGCCTCTCACAAATGGACATCTGTGAGTTATTTACCTGTTTTGTTGACCCTGACTCCCTGGTGGGAGTGAGACAGGCTCTTGCTCTGGTCTTGGTTGTCATAAATGTCTTTCTATGTGATACAGGACAGGATTCTTGGTACATTGTTGCTAGTACTATAAACTGTGAGTTCTGTTTGTGCCAAAGAGGTTTTGGAACTCTTTACCAAGTAGCACATGGGATTTGGGGCACCTTTGTACTGTATTTTGTGTTGTATCCCATGGGTTAGGGAAGATACAGGTAGGGTTATTCTCAAATGTGGGGTCGTCAGAGGGAGTGCACTAGAGAGTGGCAGAAAAAGCAAATGATTTTGAGGTGTCCCTAGTGAAGTCCCAACTAGACCATTATTGTGATGCTTGTAAGTCTACTACAGGGTAAAGACATACACCTGACACTCCTGTGTGGTGTTCCCTCTGAGATTCTCTCTTACCAATAGCATGAAAAAGATAAGATCATTTCTGTTAAGATAGGACAGAAATTTAAATGTCCAAAAGGATAGTATCATTTTAACATTGTCTGCTGTGTGATAGTTGTTCATTTATATATACTGGGCCAGATGTTTATCTGATAAAAGTCAATGTAACTTCACTGAATGGAGATGAGGTGCACCAAGTTGATGATTCAGCCTTTGTTCATTTAACTGTTTAGATTTATCGTTTATTAACCTCAGCATGGAGAATGTGGTTTCTATGCCTAGTGTAAGGAAGATTTTTCTAAAAAAAAAAAAGGATTCTGCTCTTAGTGATATCTAGCTTTGTCTTGTAGGTGAGGATTGAATGAGGCCATTATGTGTAAAATGAAATGTTTTATGTGAAATAGCCACATATGATAATACTTTGGTTGGTATTCATAGAGCCATGCTTACTCCATCTGTCTCAGTTATAAATATTTTAAGTGCATATCTCAGTAAATTTTAGGGTTTGTAATGTAGTAAAATCAAGTAGATGTTAATAAATTCTAGCAAGCACAGAAACTCAGTTCTTTCTCAGTAGGATTCTTTTATCTGCTCAAGAATGTCTTGCTACAGCTGCAAAAATATTGAACTAAGTTTAAACTACAACAAATGTGTTACTAAGGTAGCTGATTTTTGTATGTTTAGAACGGTAGACTGGATTCTCAAAAATGAGTAGCAAATGTGTTTGCAGAATAATTTCATCGGGCTTTTTTTTTCTTTCTTTTTTTCCTACCATTCTGAAATGTAGAGTTGCCTAAGAGCCACGTGCTCATGCAAGGGTGAAGTCTGATGCTTCTTAGTTTCCTCCTTTTCAACATCCAACTAAATCCAGACCCAAAATGCCATGAAGACATCATTTCCTTCTGATTTGTACTAGCCCAAAGTAACCTAGCAGCTTTCAGTAGAGAACAGATAGTTCATTTGGCTGTTGGTTTTGAAGCAGCTTGATCAAAGGTCTTCCAGCATTTTCTATGGCCTTTTACTCCCTATGTCTGTGCTTCAGGTAGTGAAGAGATCCCAGCAGTCTTCCTTAATTCCTGCATTAAGTAACACTCAGGATCACATGAAATAGCCACATCTGGGACTGCTCTGATCCTGCTCTGCTCTTTTGGGCCAAAATCTCTCTCCTTTAGGAACAGATTGAGGAACTTGCAGTCAAGTTTAGTTGAGACTAAATGTAATAAAATGAAGACATGGGGAAGGGAGGGAGCATGATGATATTTCAGTAACAATCGCAATATTTGCATAGATCTGCTCAATCTAGTTGAGCTTCTGCTTGTTTCAATAAATATTGTCAAGCCTTAGAGTTTCCAGCATGCAAGAATAAAATAAAGCTTGTCTGCATTTGATTTGTAGAAGTATTTTTGTATTATATGATGGATTTACAAATATTTTCTTGAAAGGCTTTTTCCAAGTGATTTTTTCTTAGAAGATGTGTCTGTTAACTAGTAGCTATCTTCAGACACCAGTGTCCTGACAATGCTGACAAAGGCTACAGATAAGAACAAGTTTCATAAATTTGCTGTACTTTTCACTGGTGAAGGCTATTGCAAATAAGAAAGTGCCAAGTGTTCTGTCTCACCCATAATTAAAAACTGGATGTTCTGTTTATGTGTTTTCTTGCAGCTGGCAGCATTAGAGAGACAGATCTTTGACTTCCTTGGTTTCCAATGGGCTCCTATCCTGAGCAATTTCCTACAAATAATAGTTGTCATTTTGGGTTTGTTTGGAACCATCCAGTTTAGGCCTCGGTATATAGTTGTGGTAAGTCTCATTTATTATCTTTTTTTTTTTTTTGTAATGGGTTTTTAAAACTGTATTATTACAAAACAGAATTTTCTTTGCTTCAAAACTTGGTGTTTCTGTGGAAACTTTAGAGGTCTCCATGCCTTTTTGCAAATTTAGGACTACCGAGTGGCATTTCTGAGGTTTTTTGAAGCTGTCAAGAATAGGTAACCTCGAGAAAGTGCTGCCAAAATTATGACCATGATACAAATCCTTAGGAAGATTCTATAAAGAATGAAATACCTAGATGGGTCATGGGAATATCAGCAATTAGACCATGCATAAATGAAGAAATTAAATACAAATTGTTGTTCTTTTTGCAATAGACAGGCAGAATCAGTGGTGATTAAAAAAACAGATTTGTATTGGCCAAGTTAGATTTAGCTACATCTTCCTTTTTAAGAGGGAGAGCAAGGACTGTGGAAATTTCTTTGGTCCTGTGACCCATGGGTTCCAAAGAAATGCTTGTCACTTACATGTAACTTTGTCAAGACCTGTACTTATGGTCTTGACCCTAAATTGGTGTAAATTGTCCCTGATGCTTGTAACTTCAAGCTTCACAGTTGTTTTTTTTTCCCATGTTCTCAGCATAGCCAGGAATAAAAAGAATTTTCAAAGCTGTGAAGTAAACTGGCAACAAAAAGATACTCCTATTCCTCCCCCACGCTCTCTCCTGAATGGATGAAAATTATGTCTTTACCTGGCAGTCTTTGTATCTGTAACATTTTGGTTGTGTTGTCAGTAATGGTTTTTAAGAGGCTAAAGTTATCTTTCTTTTTCCTCACAAAAGAGTGAAATCAATGTCTACTGGGGAAAACTCATTAAACAAATACTTAAAAAGCTTCATCTTTTCTAGTCAAACTTGGAATCCTGTAATTTTTTGTCATATCTTAAAAGAAAAAGTGAACAAAAAAAGTGCATCCAAGGTTATATTCACATTAGCCGAGCTTCCAAATAGACTGTAAGGAACTGAAAATGGATTGATATAAATAATAGAGCTTTTATCTATTGTCTGTACTTGGAGAACTGGACATCATATATTATTGACTCACCTTTCTGCTTCATGCTCTTCATTTGATAAGTAAGACATCAGTAGCAAATGAGGGTAAACATCTGTAAAATTATGTAGGGAATTCATGTCGGAAGTGCAACACTACAAAATTTCTCGCCCCTCAGGTTCGCACTGCTGTTCAGTGGGGAAAGCTCTGCTTTAATTTTCAGATGAAGTGCAACAGATGCTGTGTGTTTCTATATCTTTTCCAATGTAAATGAACATTTTAGGCTATATTAAAGTTGCTTTCAAGAAGAGGTAAAGAACTCATAATTAAAGAAACACCTCCTCAACAAAATACTTTATCCTCAGATTTAACTGAACTCACGTTCTGATTTATCTTTAAATAAGATCTCGTTCTACAGTAGGTGCAAATACTGATTACTTGAGAAAATCAAGGCTTTAGACCAGCTTCTATCCTGGAACATAAGGTTCCCGATGGAATAGGTGTAGTTTGATCCAAATCCTTAAGTCCGAAGAGCGAAGGTACACAAGGTGCCTGGAATCAACCTCACAGCTCAACACCAGCAGAAAGGGGTGGCTTGCATGTCTCCCTGCTCCCACTGTTCTTCTCCCTGGATGAATACTTCCTCAGATCCTCCCCACCAGTTCTGGCAGCAGTTAACCAAACCCTTCATTAAGGCAGTTCCACTCCTAAGCTGTTAGAAAAACAACCTAGCAAAAAGTGAAGAGTAAGCTGAATCCAGTCTGTGATGTTCCCAGTGGTTGCCAGGGCCAGCAAAAGACAGGGATTAGGACTGCATGGTCATGAACACCAGTGTGGAGGGGGAGGGGAAAGGAGGAGATGCAAGACTTGCCTTGTTACTAGTTACAAACTTGTTAGTTCAGCCTCTTACCCAGCTTCACCCTCAGGCTGAATTCAGTGGGTATCTCAAGCCAGTGTGAGCACATACTCCTTTTGCACAGCTGCTGCCCTTGTGCTGTTCCTTCATTTGCACCAGCATAAGCATCAGGTAAACCACTTCGTAAACTGTCAAACCAGAACAGATCCATCTGTAAAGCAGCCGTTCTCTTTACTGGTGTTTTGCTTGTTCCAGCTGCAGGGAAGAGGTGTGAGAGGGGAAATGGGAACAAGTAGCTAGAGGAAGCAGAAAAAAAGTGTGTTTTTTCTACAGCAGTGCAGGGTTACACCAGTTCAAAGTGCTCATTGACCTATAGCCTGAGGATCTTCCAGATTATACCCATCACATGCTTCTCAGAAAGTGTCCTAAGGCTGTCCCAACCACAGCTGAGCTTTGTCCACTGTCCCCAGAAGCCCCAGAAGGAGTCAGTGGTACAGACAATAAAGACACCTACCTGTGTCAGCTCCAGGTGGTCTTCACTAAGGCAAAAGGGAATCCAAAGGCAACTCTCCAAGGAAGGGCATAGCTTGCCTCCCTCCTTCTGAAACCCTTAAAACTTGGTCCACCTATTACAGCAGTAAACTTTTACTGCTGACTTCAAATATAAAGTCTTCTTAATGCAAATCTTAGTAGGGTCCTGAATTTCAGTATTTGGCACAATGCAGGCTCTGAGTAGTGAACTGAGCTCCAAATTCATTCAGAAGTTTCATGGGCTTCCAAGTCTATAGCTGCACCTTCAGCTACATCTAAGTCCCTGGATATGTTAGTGGTTGCTGTCACGAGAATTTGGAGCTGTGTCTTTGGCAGAAGAAATATGTTGAGTCATGCTTTTACGTAGTCTGATTGCTGAAGCTTCTGATTTAGATTAAGCTTAATCCAGTTTAACGGGAAAAGTAACCAATTACTTCAAGAAAAATATGTTCAGTGTCCATTGTCTTTCCCTTAAGACTTCCCTGGAAATCAGCATTACTAGTGCAGATGATCCCATTAGAACATAAAAAATTGAAATAAAGAGAGAATCATGTCAGATGCAACAGTTTACTTCTGCAAACTGTCTACACAAAATTGATCTGGCACTTGTGAGCGCAAATTGTCCCCATGATATTCTGTCATTCTCTGGTGATGATCTTGACTTAAGCTGACCAGCTCTAGGGTCGTTGGTTTGAGCTCAAGAGAATGTTTTTAATCTGTCCTCTGTGCAATGAAGTCTGTGCCTGAAGGTTTCCCTGACAAGAGAAGTTACATAAAAGCTTTCACTTTGCCATCCTATGCTGTGTATGTCATTTTCTCTCTCCTCAAAATTTAACATACCTAAGGAATGGGATAGTAAGTGAATAAATGTAATACATGTAGGGCCATAACTTGAAGCACATCTATACTGCAGTCAAATATGAGACTAGTTCTGCAGGTATAATTGAGCAGGGTTTTGTTGCAGGTAGGTAGAGTCAAGTTCAGTGAAGGCTGTGATAGAAACTGATAAACACAGAAGCAGTTACACACTTCTAACTCTTCCTCTGCCTTTGAAACCAGGCTACCTAGTTTATCACTAGGATTTAATGACTACATAAGCTGCAGTCATTTCTTTGACAGCAGTATAAGCATAGCCATTCAAGATTCAAAATCTGAATGAAAAATTAGTTTGAGTGATATAAAATTTGGCATGAGAGCTTTCTACCAAAAAAATGCCCCACCAACTAAGAGCTGCCACACAATGGCTGATTCATGAGGCATCTCTGTTGAATATAATTGTCATTCCAAGAGTTAAAAGCAATGGCTCATGTTCTCTGTCTACAGTCCTTCAGATACAGAACTATAAGTACAGTGATTCTGAAATAAATCTGGAATTTCATTTGCTCACATCTAAAATTCCAAGTCCTTAGAGCTTAGGAACAGAGAGAGAGGGAGGAACAGCATTGATTCCAAGTGTCCTAATTAGTTTAAATCAAATAATAATTTGTAATAGGTTTTGTATTAATTAGTAATTTGGATCAATTTTGTGAACAATTTGTCCTGTCATGAAGCAGATGTGCTATTTTCAGTATTTGAATATTTTGTGACTGAATTAAATCAGTGCAAAGTTCCTAGGGGACATAAAACTGCAGAGCTAATTCCTATTTTTCCCATATTAGCTCATTTGCGACTTGCCCAAACATTTGCAAAGAAGAAAAAACAGCTAAATTTTAGTTCTAACCATGCTGTTACCCTCCTGTCATGAAGCTCCAGAATTCTGCTGTGATCCATTTCCCTGTGCATGCTTTTCCTTTCTTAATAGAACTTGCTGTCACCAGCAAGATTTTCTGGCTGTTAAAACTGATTAAATATGATGACAGGATCCTCGTTAAAGTTGAGGTTTTTTGCCCTCTCCTTCTTCTGATATGGGACTTCAGAAGTCTTCTGAATGATGAGTCATGTAGCTAAAATTTCACAAACCAGGCCCAAAGCTGAACAAAAATGTGTTAATGAACAGTGGGTGATAGAAATAATACACTTAAATAGGGGGAATATAAGGTGGAAATTTCTACTTTACTTCCCTTAATATATTCCATTAAACAGTGATATGTAGGCCATGTGTACAGTTGAAAAGCCAGGAGACAGTTTCTTAAAAAATTAAAAACAAAAGCAGAAGAAAGGCTGTACAGCATACTTTACACAGTATTCAGGTAAATGTCATACAGACAAGTCAAAACACAGGTGAAATATTTAGACTTCCAGAATTACTCCTTGAATATCCTTCCTGGTAAGTCCTGTGTTGTTACTGTTCCATCATGTTGATTTATGCCATTCCCTTGCCATCTTTCATAAATATGACTAATAAGGCTCTGCAAGTACTGATGCCTCTGAGGCACAGCCAGGCATTACAGCGGTGTGATCTGACAGCTCACTAGTCGCTCCTTTCTCCTGAATTATCCCTGAGCCAACATGCATTCCCCCTAATGCCAAGACACTGTCAGAATAGGTGCTGCACTTCAGATTAAATATACACTTGAGATAGTTTATTCATTAAAGCTAAACTTGCCCCACAATCCTTGTAATATTCAAAATTAGAAAATTTCTTTGTTCTTTTGATATTCAGTTTAAGAAGACATCCTTTCTATTTTTTCTTACCCTTTCTTGTCATGACATTTTATCCATCCAATACCAATGATATAACTTTAGAAATGTTTGTATTTCACTGATCTATAAAAGGCATCTCTGCATTGGTTTCAATATGACTTGTAGAGCTGAAACAGGTATAGAAATCTCACTGTTGTAGAGAGTATTATGTGTTATGAAAGGGGATCTGAAAGGAACATATGGGGCTGGACAGTAATTTAATAGACATTTCACCTGTAAGTTTTAGGAAGTACTTTCTACATAACTTGTAAGACTCCAAATACTTCCTCACACCACATAGTATACAATCCTTAGTGCAAAAGACCAAAAGCAAGAAAGTATATAGTGCATCATGGCGAGAAATAAGCAAAGATTGTCACCAGTCCTAGGTCCTTCCAGCAGAAGGAATCAGTTGCAAAAAATACCCAGGTAATTTTTAAGTAGTGCATCATATGGGGTATAAAATAGACACCCCAACTCTTATTATTTCAACCTGTCTGGAAAATTCCTTCTTTATGCCAGATATGGTGAGGGTTGTGATGCTGAGTATGAGACCAGCTGAGCTGGGGTGGACTGAATGTGGTTGGCCAAGAAGTGGGGCAGGACCTGTGGGTATGGGGGAGTAAGGGTGAGCAGACACAGCAAAATGAACAGGATAATGGTCAGGACATGGAGCAGGAGAAGTTGAATAGCAGGTCAGGTCATGAAACAGGTTAGATGCAGTTCCTTGGGAGGGAAATGAAACCTGAGGATCAGTGTGGACCTGATGTTTCAGATCCTAACCATTCCTAAACTGAGAGAAAATTGCCAGCATGCATGACATGTCCCTTTCACACAGAGGATGGCAATTTGGGCTGTTTCTCTGCTAGCAAAAAAGGAGAAGTCTTCATCATTAATCTAAAAGTTACACCTCTGTTAATGACTCAAGCAGGTGTTACTGTGATGCCACATAATGGAATATTGCTATAATATTTTTATAAACGTAGAGGTATATACGTATAAATTTACACACATACACATAGTGTTCAGGAAATATGAAAAAAAATTCAGAAAGAAGCACTCAAAAATTTAGAAAAGTTGTTATTAAAGCCCTTCTGTGCAATCTTACTGTGATCCTTTTATATATTTGCAGTTTTGAACTGCGAAGATGCATACCAATTCTTTTTCTATTGTCACCTCAGTTTCAACAGAAAAGACAGACATTTGGGGTTTTTCTGGTGATCACACCTATAGAATAGGAACTTGATTTACAGAAATAGAAGACAATGGGAAAAGTGAGGCACATGCTAGCAAGAAGGATTGCTTTTGCTGTGAAGGCTGTGCTGGGTAGCTGAGTTTTATCTCTGCTCTCAACCACTGAAACCTTTTTTGACACAAAGTGAGTCACTTGAACCAAACTCGTCATGTTTTCCCCTTGCGTTTCGGGCTCTTGTCTTGAGACCTTGTGGTCTGATTTGCACAAGTGCTGCATGCTCAGCCACAGGGAGCTGAACACTGAGTTTATAAAGTACTGTATAACCTCAAGACTTCTGAAAAATGAACTCTAAAGCACCTCAAGTTGAATGTGTGAATCCTTCTGAATGTAATCTCTGCATGTATCAGAACATCATTTGCATTCTGAGAGCTGTATCATTCCCTTATAACATAAAATAAATTAGTTAATGTTTGTGCAGCTCCCACACATTACAGCGATGAACATCTTAGAAAACCTCATGAGGAAATTAATATTCTGTCCTCAGAGCAGGGTCTGAGTGACAAGGAGAAATGAAGTATTGAGTTAGCTGTTCATAAATTGTGTTAAGGGAGGTAGATATTTTAAAATAAAAATACATCTATGATGATTTGATTAATGTTTGTGCTGTATTGCACATCCACAAAATAGAAAAATTAATATGGCATATATAACAAAAATTCTGACATTTCCTAATTTTTCTTTCTTGGTTTTGCTGTCATATAACCTTTTCTTTGATTTAGTCTTCCTTAAGTACCTATGAAGCTATGCAAGGGAAAAATCTGCTCCTTGCATGTCCAAAAATGTGTGTTTTTAACTGTGGGCAATAACTTTCTTACTTTTAAAAAGTAAGTAACTTAAAAAATTGCTGAATATGTAATTACTATGTTTACACTGCAAATGGAAGTCAAATTTAGATTTCTACATTTCAGTGAGAGTGTAAGAAGAGCCTCTCCATACACAGCTGCTGGGTTTCAAGGTGTACACCTGCTTTGCACCTGCACTTCTCTTTTAGTAATCCTCACAGTAGGTAAAGAACTGAACCAGTCCTGACTGTGTAAAACAGCATAGACTGGCCTGGGAAAGCATGTTCAGACAGATTTTGCCTGCTTAGTTGAGAGTTGTCATTGGTACCCATGGGACAGAATGAGGCCATTAACAGATTTGGCTTGGCCTAGCAGATCAAACAGGATTGCTTTTGTTGTGGTGACAGATTTAGTTCATGGACAGATAAAAAATTCTTTCTTGAAAAGTACAATTCTCCTGAATAGTCTAAATCCTGCTTTTTACGTGCAACTGGGCTTGTATGAATTGTTCATTAATTTTGAACACTCCACCCATAATGTTCTGAGGATAGACGCTGAAAAATTGGAAGCTTATGCGGAGTTACTACAAAGTCAACAAATGAAGTAAAAATGATATACTCTTTTAAGTTAACCTTATGAATAGTACATGCCTTATACTGCTCACAGACCACAGCAGCTTTGTCTTCAGTTGCCACACTGCCCTTCGCTGTAAAACAGAGGAAATGCCCCAGGAGTGTTACTCCTATATTGTTTATTAATGACCTACTTCATAGGCCACAACCATCTCCCAGCTGCCCAAGTACCTCAGAAGAAATTATAATAAAGCAGTTAACTTGTTAGGTGTAGAGAAATGTCTGCATGAATTAGGGGTAATCAAGTGAGGAAAAATTCGGCTTTCTTCACCTGAACCTTTCATTATACATCACAGGGAGGGGAAGGAAGAGAAGAACATAACACAAAACTGCCCAAGAAAGCCAAACTGATGGCATTTGTGCAATGAAAGTGTGATCCAGAGTATTGCAGATTAGTATGTTGAGATTTAGTGATTGTATTGAAGCAAAACAATAGCATATTAACCCTCATCTAGTCACAGGTAATTAGACTTGCAAAGGCTCCTAGCAGCAGTTCTCCACTGTGAAATCTGGAAGTGTGTTAATGTAAAGTGTCAATGCTGCTGATCATTGCATTTTTTTCAGGTGGGTGTAACTCCAGCATGGCTGGGTGGGCACTGGACCCATCAGGCAGAAATGCTTCTTAGGGGATCTGCCTGGAGGGTTCATTGGGAATGGTTTGCAGCTGTATGTTAGTAAACAGTGCATCTGTAAGGAAATGGTGCCGGTCTATTGTGCTGACAAAATGCAAAAGATAATTTAAGATATACAAATTAATCTCCAATTCAAGTTGTGGATGGAGTATGAGTCTAGTATGATGCTGGAGAACCCTGAAGAGATATGGATGTGTTCAGTTCTTAAGGATGCATTGTAGGATCATTTTCATGGCAGAAGGGCTAGAGAAGCAGTGAGCTGTTTTTAATGTAATTAAAGTACCTTTTACTATAAAAGAGTCTTAGATCAGATTTGCCCTTCACCTATTTGTTTAAAAAGAAAAAAAATCCAGATTATCAGATCAATAGATTTTCCGTTTTATTTGGTGGTGGTTTTTTCCCCTTGTGTCTTTCTTCATAATAGCTAAATGCTATTTCAATTGTATTTGCTTATTTAAAGTATTGTGCTATTCTGGAATCTTCTTTAACAGATATAAATCATGATTTAAAAATGGCTCACAGTTGCCCCAAAAACAGTGTTTAAGTCAGCACTTTGGATTTAATTGATATCAGTAGGATAGTGTAAAACTGTAAAGAATAAATCTATTTTATTGGTATTTATTTAGTATGGCAGTGAATATTGGATTTATAATTTCCTGTAGTTCTTAGGTGACTTCTGCAGGGAGACCTCCCTTTCTGAACTCTCTGTGCTTGGCTGTTCCCAGAAGAACAATGCTTATTGATATCAGGTTTTTTATTATTGATCTGCTCAGTATAAAGTCCTTTCATCTTCACATTTTATTTTTCTGTCTTTTTGCTTTCATCTGGCTTTGTGTTTAGTACACGGTGTGGACTGCCCTGTGGGTCACCTGGAATGTTTTCATTATCTGCTTCTATTTGGAAGTAGGCGGACTTTCTAAGGTAGGTCACTTATCCTTCTTCAGCTTTATGGGAGGGTGTTTTAACAGCAGGACTCTCAGATTTTAGAAGACTGGAACCATAGAGAAAAATGTGGTTGTTTGAACATACAATTTGATCTTCAGAGTTCTTCCTCAACGAGAACTCTAGTGTTTGAACTTCTCCCTGATAGTAAATAGCTAGGGGTTTGAAGTACATAAATGCTATGAATCTGAACTACAGTTGCCTTCTGAAGTACCATCCGAAGGTGGGGGGTGGAGAGGGCATTCAGTTGTAAATTTGAGGTTCTTTTTGATTGTTGAAAAACAGGCAATGTCATTTTGGTTGAATTTTCAAGTGTGTATGAAAAGTGTGATTTCCAAGACTGCTTTGAAAGCAGCAAAAGAAAATTACTAAGAAGGTTAATGTAATAACTTGTAGAGCAAATTGGTCTCGCAGTGAGAATGTTAATTCCTTGTAAAAAAGATGAAATGGCAAAGGATGACTTTTGTCGCATCTGAATAAAACTTTCCTTTACGTGACACTCGGTGCTCAAGGTCACCAGCTCCTTATTCAAACCTCTGATTAGAGAAGAAATGTTTGCTGGAAGTGTCAAGACACGTGCACTTGTTCAAGGTAGCACTTATGTTAGCACAGGTTATGTTTAGCATTGTATCTACTGTGAGTTCCATACAACACCTGCTGGGATTTTATCCTCCAGTTGAACGTAGATGATACAGATCTTTGTTTACTGCAATCATGCTTACATGATTCCAGGCGCAGTATGGCCATAGCACATGCTGACCCCAGCATTACTAATAGAATAAAAGTCAACATTACTGGTTGTAGATTTAGTGATATGAACTACATCACTGTTAGTTCATGCAGTGCTTTTAGAGAATGCAATCCTGTGCAATGTGCTCTTGGAAGACTCTGCTGGAGCAGGGAGGATGGACTCAGACAAGCATTTTGGTTCCTTCCAACCTCACCCATTCTGTGATTCTATGAATAGTGTACTCCACGCAGTTCAGAGTGGAATATTTGTGAGCTATGTACTTGCTAGCATTAAAGCTCTTAGCTTTTGGCTGACAACAAACAGAAAACTGGTAAAACCAATTTACTAAGAAATAAAATTTAATTTACTCGGTAGAAATTCCATTAAAATTAAAGGTTTCAGTGATAGGTTTCTTTGGTGATAAAATTTTGTAATGAAAAGCTGCAACAGTTTATTTTTCCTCCAAACATGATGTAGCTCATAAGAAGTGATGGGCTCAATGAGGAAATTAGTGCACTTCATAGAGAATCAAAATAAATGATCCTATTGGTATGTTCTGACTTAAAAAACCTATATGATAAACAGAAGAGCAACACATGGAAGTGATGAATGCCTGAAGTAATTACTCATTCTCATGATACACAGAGAGGTTATATTTTTTCACTTAGTTGGGTCATGTCTGTTTTTGTAATTACTATTATATTTTACATATAACTGGTGTATTTCTCTAAGTGCCTAGCAAGTGAAGCAAAACTTTTAGTCTGATTCCTGAGTTTGTGAAAATTTGACTTGCTTTTCCATTGATTGCAAAGGATTATGGTAATATCCTCACTGTAAGAGGTTTATAAATCAGTAGGTATGAAGTCCTGCATCTTCCAGTTTCACCTCTGTGTTTCACTTTTAGCTCTTCTCACTTAACATATATGACAAATCACAATGCGAAGAAATAGTGGCAAAAATATTACTCGCTGGTTGAGAAAATTCCTTTCATCAGTATATACTTTACTTGATCTCAAAATTTTTGCCGAATTTTTATCATGTGGTTTATAATTGCAACATTTGAAAAGTAGTTTCTCTCCAAAGTGATAGACACAAAATTATTTCCATGGAAGTTTACTGCTCTTGCATAAATTATATCAAAGGTATGAGTATCGGGATCAAATTAATAATTACAGAATCAAGAGTTTTGTTCAGTAAATCATGGAATTTGAGATCCATTTAATGTTGTTTCTGAAAATTATGCTAGAATTTATGAGGTCAAGAGGCTGAGGTCTTTTGGCACCGTATGGATAAAATCTCAGGTGTTTACAAGTTCATTGGCATGTGACAGTGTCTTAATTGGGATCCACATTGACCCAAGATGCTAGATTAAAGACTTCATCATTGCTTTCCTGTTGTTGTCAGATGTGATAGAAAGGTGCTATTATCAAGGTACATTAATGTGGTTGGGAAATCAAACACCACCATAAGCTATCCAAGCATGGCTATTTTCTCAGCATTGAAATCTTGGAAGGCAATAGTAAACCTTTTTATTGCTGTTGCTCTGTATTTCCATCTAAAAAAAAAGAGGCTTTGTTTCTGAAATGAATACAAATTGATTATAATTTTAAGCTTCTGTTGACATACTATCAGGGAAGATTATGATGCTGATTTCTGTTGGTTTGTTTGCTTTTAAGCACTATTATGTTTGTATTTGCTCTGACCAGAATTACTTAGCAGTTGGTTGGTGTGCCATGAGTTTATTAGGTCTTAGATCACAAATGCTTCAAAAAATGTAACTTGGTGGAATAATAAATGGTAATTTTAGTTCAATATCTTCACATGGAGTATGCATACAATGCAGACAGACTTTTAAAATGTCATAATAGAAACCTACCACCACTGAAATTTTCTCAGATCTTATTCTTGCAACAGAGAGGAAGATCCCCTTTGAATACTCACTGTTTGAATTCTGCCAAGACGTTCCACTGCAGCTAATGGAAAATTTGAATGAGAATAAAAAGGATGTAGGTAATTTATGCCTGTTCTTTACTGTGGAAATTTGAAATATTTTCCCTTCAACTGTAATGCATAATGATCAGATTTTTCTTGGCAAACTGATTTTCTTATTCTTGTTTTTAAGGAACAGTGTGGTATTTAATTTGAAGTTTATGGATCTAGCACACCAAGATCTTTGACCTTTTCTTGATAAAGAATGATGAAATCTTCTGCCACCTATACTCCCTGTGTCAAGCACAATATATGTGATTTTGTCATTGCCATTTTTTTTTCAGAGGAGTGTGACGTTTCTTCACTAAAGTGACATGGAAAGTACATTTTTAGTTGCAAACACACTTCTTATTTTCAAGTAATTTGAAGAAAAAAAAGGCAATTTTATGCATATCTACATACCCAAATTCCCTCCAAAGTTTGTGTTTAATAGTCTGGAGGGCCAATCTGGAATACCTGAGTTGAGGAAGCTGGTGGAGGGGTTTTAATAGTCTGGAGAGCCAAACTGGAACACCTGAGTTGAGGAAGCTGGTGGAGGGGGGTAAGCTGTGATCTGAATGACTCTATAGGTGGCTCTAGGCTTGTCATCAAGGAATTCACTTGGGTCTTAGTCCCTGCTCCAATTAATATATTATTTTATTGCGTAAAGAGAGAAGGCCTCACAGAATAGCCTTCTGTGGAAGCAGCTCCCCATAGATACAGTATGGTGATTATGGCAATCTCCTGGGAAAAGGATGATATGGAGTCAAGTCATCTTGGGTGTGAGAGGGAAATAAACACAGCTCTCCCACAGCTGGCTGTTGTCAGTAGAAAGCTAACGAGCAAAGGTTTCCACTGTAACTACCTTGTAAACAATATGTAGGTCAAGCTCCTTTTTCACGTACGTTACAAATGTGCAAATAAAATTTTAATGCTTTTTTCAGGGCTAAAGAAATTGTATTTGATCAGAAAAAAATAAATATACCTATACACAGCTGTTTTATTTGGGTTAACTTAGGTTTTTTTCTGATCTTAGCGGTGATAAATCTGCCCATTTGAAAAATGAAATTTGCCTATCTTTTTATTTGCTACTTTTATAAAATTGAAAGCATAATTTTTAGTGTTAACCATTCTGTTTGAAAGAAACAAAGCTGTTATCATAACATGACATTTTAATCCTTCACTGCAGAATGACAGATTACTATATCCATACATGAGCTCATTAGTTGTTTGGATTTCATTCTATGTCTCAAAATGAAAATATGTTCTAATTGCCACATTCTAGAGTATGGACAGTTTAAAGCATATAGACATAAACACAAACTGTTTTTCTGAAGTTTTGATTGTGGTTAAATATGGACAAGATCACTTCTAACTTGTATAAGCCAGTCCTCCATCCCTAGCAATACATGCTTTTATGTACTTCAGTACAAAGGAGACTGCATTTGTTTAGAGTGTACAGTTAGTAATTCTATTGTTTATATCTCTCAGGTATTTCAGATCCAGGATGAAAATAGCTGTGTTTATTTGTATTTAACCTTTTGCTATTCCAACTGATGCTTTTTGAAAGACCATTTTTCCATTGCTTGTGTTGTTGTGAGTTAGTGGCATTTCCTTGCATGTGTTAAAGCCTTTATTCAGTAAATGTATAGCAGCATTCCAATACCGTGTGCACCTTTCCTGTTGTTTCATATTCCTTACCTAAGTAACTGGGCAATATTGATGAGCTCTTTTCTTCTTCTATGATGTTTCTGTTTGTTCTGCATGACTTTTTTGTGGCATGCTTCTTCAGCATGAACCTTGCCTCATTCTGGATTACTTTTAAGTTTAGCTCTCCAAATTGAACACTATGTCAACTGGCTCCTTTATTTCTTTTGGCCGAGGATTTGCATGGCACGCATTCGTATATTCAGTAGGAAGCTACTGCTAAAACAACTTGTGTTTATTATCTGGCCCTTACTTTTATTTATTGAATATAGGTGAATGTGAGCTCTCTGTTGTGCCTCTGATACTAACTTCATTAACCTTTCCCCTGAAGCTGAAGGAAATTTTGTTAATTAATAAAACAATACTATTTCATGTATTTTTTCCTAGTAATATTTACCTTTGTCAGTGGAAATTTAAGGTCTGTAGGGCTCCCAGCCAACTTTATTAAGCTGGAGACAGAACTACAGGCTAAATTCTTATATGCATCTGTAGTCAGAGGATAGAATTATAGCTCTGACAAAATTAATGATTTCTTCCATCTGAGAACATAAGGGACTAATAATTTACTTAGTAA